TTCTGTTGTGACCTGATGCATCCACCTATCATTAAGTTGTGAGTTTTGTGCCGACCACTGCAACAAGGAGGGGTTGAATGCGAGAGACAACGATCGACATTCGAAAGGAACGATCGATACTTATACGAAGCGGAGCGCGTGTGGTCCCTAGGAACACTATTGGGGCGAAAACCTTGATACGGATATCTGCTTCGTGTTTCAAATGTCGAACAATGTCCGATTGTTGGTGGAATTTCGTTTGAATGATCTGACTTTATGAGATTGGGTTACTTGTCAGTGTCTATTTAGACCATACCTACGACCCAGACGCTAAAACGTTTTTCTTACCTAAGTCCGAACGTTGGCGGCTTGCGGGAGTGACAGTGCCGGTTGGATGTATGAGCGACCGATTTTCCCTATTTGGTGAGGCTGCGGGGAAGTTCGACCGTCAAAATACTAAATTTGAGTGTCATTCTATAACATCCACGCGATTCATAGCCTAAACAGTTAAAAGGGGTGGCCGTGTTACCTGCTCGACCTTATTGTAGAGACCATAAGTTATCAATTTAATATTTTTTTTAAGTTACTCTAAGACTGTTTTCGTCGGGGTTTGAACTTGCGCCTGGGCGGTAAAAGGTGAGCGTGTTACCCTATCAGGCCAGCCACACTCTCAATTTTGGGGGACCGACAGCTGGCGTGATAAGCGGCAGGGGAGGACTGAGCCCACTATGCCGAAGAAAGGGAACTTACCGAGAGAGCAACTCTTCAAATAGAAGGGTTGCTCATCTAACTCATGTGAGAGGAGTTAGCCCTGTAGGTAAACACATCAAACTCTTGCGCTATAGACACATGGATCGAGTCCAAAGGTGCCCTACTGGTGCTAGCTCCTTCTTATGGAGCGACCTGTAGGGCTAAGCTGGTTTCGCGCAATTGATCTCGACCGCGAGATCGTCGAGATCGTGCGGTCAAAATCAGCCACGCCAATATCAGCATGGCCCTGCGCAAGGATGAGAAGACAGTCGAAACTTCTTTTTAATTTTTGAAGTTCAATTCCAGGAGGAATCGAACTTAGGTTTGCGTTTCAATAGTTGGCGGGATGCGCTACGATGGAACGTGTTGTTGACTCTTACCAACGAAAAACAGAAGGGGAGAACAAAGGGCAACACGAATATCCTTAGTCATAGGATTGTCCAGATCGCGTGTGCGGGAAGAAAAGGAGTGGAGGAAAGCAGAGGGGGAGGAGGAAAGCAGAGGGAGGAAAACAGGAGAGTTGGGAGGAGGAGGGCCTACTCCTCCTGACCTGCCAGACGCCTCCCCATTTTCAAGGGGGGGGGGAGGGGGAGAAAAGAAAAAGAAAAAGAAGGAGGAAGAAAAAAAAAGATCAAGATATTGAGAAAATTTGTATTTTTCAATATGCGCCAATATTGTTTTGACGGCTGACAAAAGTTTTGTTGGCCTTGAGAATGTTTTCGTGGGTAGCTGGGTACCTATCCCACGTGCATGAACCCTTTGAGAGTTTTTTCTCTAATAAAGTTTTAACTAAAAACTGTCAAAATTGGGGTACTTTTAGCACCCCCATTGGCCCCTCGGGATTTGAATCTTGAGTTTCACCAGTTACACCCCCCCCCCCCCCCCCCCCCCCCCCCCAAAAAAAAACAAACGAAACCAACCAGGTAACAGCAGCTCGTGGGACCAGCCTTTTCAGCTTCTGAGTTGAGGCTGATGGGACCAGACCTCCGTTGCGTCCTCCTGGTGCTAATATTACCAGCCACATGATCTTCGATCTAGGTTGTGCGCATGAGGTAAATGGAAATTGTGGGGGTCTAAAGAGAGAGGATTTGGTTCCACACAGTGGTGTGCGCAGCAGCGAACATTTTTTTTTTTTTGTGCATGAGTTGTCAACAAGAGGAACCTTTGGCACCACTTTTGCGGGCCAGTTGGGACATGTATGGAAGCGGCGTAGTGCAGCTTGGGAGCATGAGGCGCTGGTAGTTTCAATAATTGGAACCCTTTTTTTTTTTTGCCACACAGAGTGCACAATTTTGATAACTGTAGCCATCCGATGCTGTGGGCAGAAGTGTGGGACCACTTAGGAATGCCTGGGTGAGGTTGGGACCAACACAGGACACGTGTCACCACGACAACGATTTACGATGCTTGCAATTTGGACTTTTTACGCGGTCATTATTTCTTTTGAAGTGTGCGACGCAAGCGGTTTTCATGGTTGACAACCTTGAGATCGTTCGTTGTAATGGTCAGTAGCGTGGGACCATCAGGGGCCACCTTGGAGTATTTGAAACCAACACGAAACACTTGTCGCACCGGCAACGACTTATTACAACGCTTGCGATTTTGGTTTTTGACGCGATTTTTTTTTTTTTGAAGTGTACGACGCTAGAGGTTTTCGAATATGAGATCATTTTGTGTGGCGGTTTGTAGCACGAGACTATGCGGGACCACCTGGAACCAGTTCGCACTAACATGGGACCGGTGATTTTTTGTTTTTCTTTTTTGACATATGCGGCTCGTCATCTTCACACTAGAGACTACCGAGTGTCAGACGTGTGCATTATAAAGGGATTAGGACTAGTAATTGGTGTGGGACTTACCTTGGGACTGCAGTTTTCTTCGGTGGTGCATATATATTTTTTTCTTGGTCAGTTATCGACTCAGTTCCCCCTTCAGCGGCGCCTATATATTTTTTTCTTGGTCAGTTTTCGAGGCAGGGAGTGTTCGGCACCACTTCATTCAAGGTCAGTTATCGACTCAGTTCCCCCTTCACACTTGTGTGAGCCCACACTTTGTTTAACCTTGTTTTTCATTGCATATTCAAATGAAAAAGGTAGGGTGTGGTCATGCATGTAAAGAGTGGGAATCCGACGAGAGTATGGATTGCAGGATTATTGGACTTGTTGGCTGATTTTGAGTGCGTAGCTAGGTAGAAGGATGCTGGCAAAGGAGATTGATTGTGCTTACTTAGGACTGGTCAAAAAGATTGTCATGTTTCTACCTCTCAGACTCTCACCTGTCTGCTTGTCAAAAAGACTTTTCTTTTGAGAATGATTAATTCAATGGGCTCCGTAAAATGAATTTTCTTCAAATAAAGAAGACAAAATAAAACGCATTTATTTTTTTTCCCAAGATGACATTTTCTATCCTGAACGACCTTATTTGTCTATAGATGTCCAAAGTATTCTCATCCTCTAACTTTTTTTCGTCTAGGTTACCTTGGGCAAGGGGCGATAGGAAGAACTAAAGTTTACTCGTGGTCGGTACGTTCTCTCTTTCTAGGAAGTTTCTGGGGCAGGGGTTCGTTGCTTTGGAAGATGACCATGTTATTGACCCAGATTGAATCGTTTCTACCGGGGTGTACTTCACCGGTTCTGTGGAGACGGCCCAATTTCTAAGATCTGAGTCTTGTGCTTGAGCGAGAAGGAGGAGTACCCTAGACCACTTCCTAGAGGGATGGGTGCGCGATTGTTAAGGCGAGGTTTTAACCTTCCCCTAATCTCGCACAAAAGGGATTTGGCCTAGAAACTTTCAAGTGATTGGTTGAGGTGTTGCCGACAGATGGGAGACTGGCGCCTAAAAAGCCCCGACCTGTTAGAGACTAGCATTCAAGCGGGACGCATGTGGGCACGACCAATGTGGGAGGTTTGTTCCATAAGAAGTGTGAACCGAGGGTGGGTAAATCAAGTGGTGACTCTCTTTGTGCGATGACAACGACTTTAACAATGCTTCGGGTGTCTTTTCCATTCGAGGAATTGAAAGAGTAATTACTGACTAGTGTCAACAGGCCTACCCACACATAGGGCATCGGGTTTCCGAGGTTGCATGTTTGCGGGCAACCCTCCCTTATAAAAAATAACACTTAGATCTCTTCGATAACACAAGGGTGGAAGGGAATGATTTTGGCAGACCATCTCATCAAGTCGAGAACTCAATCCTAATCGACTCTCATCTTAGCATGTTGTTCTCTCAAACGCGATATGCGCCGATCTTGTATTGGCTGTGCATGAATGTTTTGATTTTTCTATCGATTGTTTGTTTTTTCGCAGCAACAATTTTTTTATTATAATTTGGAACGTGCGATAGTTATGAAGACTACTTTTTGCGTATATATATTATCCTATAGATTTGGATCTTGATCATGATAAGTCTCTTTTTGAATTTTATGTAACAGGTTCTAGGATGGGTTTGACGCTTGATTGTGACCGTCCTAGTCGACCGACGTATTCTTTGAACTAAGGAGATCAGTGCCCTAAGGAGCGAGTGGCATTCAGGTTCAGAGGGCGCTTTGACCAAGCATACGTACACTGCAACTAATGAACAAACACCCTCAGTTGATTTACCTTTGTGACTGCACGAAAAAACTTTCATATATGGGTCAGTAGCTCGGTAGGGATACGCCCTAAGGAAGGGGACAACCCCTTAGGGAAGGAAAGTTGTGCCTTGAGGAAACCTACCTCGTCGTAGGGGACCGTGAGAAGTTCGATTGGCACCGGGCTAGAGCAGTGAGGTGACAACATGACCACTTTCGTCTTGGCGGTTTGCAGGATTATTTCTGCGTCGTCCTCAAGTTGTCTCTTATTTTGTTTTGTTTAACTTTTGCGTGACATGGTCGGGAGAGCTTTCGTCTTTCATGAGAAAATGCGAGAGCCGATGCGCTCGACAACACAAACAGGTCTCATCATGTGCTCATGGAAGAGACCGTCGAAGTGTTTAGATCGACGAAGGCACTCCCCCATCGAGGCTGCAAAAGGCATCAACTTCCAGGCTAAGGAATACTACCGATCCTATGGGGCTTTATACTAGGGGAAAAGGGAGAGTTTTCGCCTTTTGTGAGACAAGGTGAGAGGCGATGCGCTCGACAACGCAGATAGGTCTCATCATCTGCTCATGGAGGAGACCGTCGAAGTGTTTAGATCGACGAAGGCGCTCCCCCATCGAGGCTGCAGAAGGCATAAACTTCCAGGCTAAGGAGTAATACCGGTCCTGAGGGGCCTTATACTAGGGAAAAAGGCAACCATAAGAGTTTACTTGGTGTTCAAGGTTATCCACTCCTCTGAATCTATCTTCAAAGCATAGAGCGTGGACCCAGTTTACCATGAAGCTGTTCTGGTACGTCCTTTTAATGCCGACAAACATTTGTCACCATATCCCACATGTCCGCCACTATCTAGACCCCCGCATCCAACAAATGCTTGCCAAAGGCCCTAGCGACAACCTATCATGGGAACGAGAAGTCACCTGGGTGGCACATGTATTCATTGCCAAACAAATGTTACTGCAACATTTATTTCATAGAGCGATACGAAAAAGCATAACAATAGTCATCGTTCGTGTGTAAGGACAGCGGACCACAATGAGCCCACAGAGCAACTGCGTTTGAGTGAGTGTTAGCTCAACATCCGTCGGGTCAATCTGCATAGCCTCTTGCAAAATTGCTAGGAGAATAATCTTATAGGGTTCGCCATCGCGCTCAAGGAGGAGCCAAATGTGGTTGCGGAGGTGTAGTGTCAACAACTGCCTGTGCAGTTCTATCAAGACCAGCCCCCCTGCGTCCTCAAGTTGAATCAATTTCTGCCACGCTACTCTGTAGACGAGCCTTGACGCATGAGGTTCGTTCTTCTAAAAGAATGGCTTCAACGCGATTTGAATTGTTGTGGGGCCCTCAGATCCAGCAACGAGATAACTCTAGTACACCATTATCTTGAGGAAATACATTTATTTGGTGGAGGAACTCGAGATGTGTACCATTTTTCAATGCATAGGGAAGAAGAATGTACGGGTACTTTGACTGGTTTCCTGCCAACTGAACCTTTCATTCCATTAAAGAGCATTGCATACACCATGTCTGGCAAGGGGGTGAATGACTTGCGCCAGTTCATTCGTGCCCCTACATATCAGTTGGAGGGGTGCACCTGTTGCCTAAGTGCCTCGACACTAGGCGGTGTTAGTGTCGTAATTGGCCCAGTGTCATTAGCAAACGTGGTAGATTTGAGTTGTTCGTCATAAGAAAGGGGAAAGTTGTGAATCTTCGGGTGTTCCCTCAGCATTTCATGCACATGCTCAACATATGAAATGCAAAGAGCGGAGGAGGGGAGGCACCGTTGTGGAATATACCTGGTAACATGGGTGACCACTAAGAGGAAGTCGTTGCCTCAATCGTTGCAAGCAGATTTCGAACGTTGGGCGAAGGTCAGACTTAAGCCGTGGTCGTGCAAATCCTTTGCCAAGAAGGAACGACGGACAAGGCCAAATGCCTTCTCAAAGCGCACATGTGGCCAACGGGTAGGCATCAGTCGCCGCATGCAAGACCTGCTTGGCCAAGAGGACGCTGGTGAGGGTGCGTCTGCGAGGGACAAAGCCCGCCTGAGAAGAGTTGAGTGATAAGGGGAAGGCAGGACACTTATCTGTTTGGCAAAACTTAGCAAATAGTTTGTAGAGGTTGATAATATAGATATCGGTTGCTCATTATGTACCTTAGGTAGGTCCCCTTTCTATGGTGGTTATTATCAATGCCACAACCACGGGGTTCTCCCCTTTGAACAACTTGGAGAAGCTTTCCAACATGTAGGGCATAAGCTTCATCCGCCAACGAGCGAAGATGCTCCATTAACATGCGTTCCAGGTCGGTCACCTTACCACATGGAATCTGGGACAAAGTCATTCTCACGTCCTCCTAGGAGATGTTTGACTTTTGTGATGCCACTAGCTCGGGGAGGATGACTTGCTCACACTTCCACCATACGGATTCCACGACCTATCGCGTATGTCCGGCACGGTCCAAGTAGACTCCTATCTGTAGAGGTCATAGTAGAAATTGTGGGTTTATTGCAGAATCTCAGGAGTGGATTCAGTCGAGGCCAAGGTCGGGGTATTGTGGGGGGAATTTGTGGTTGATGCTTTGTTTCTCAAGTCGTAAATGGAGAACTTCCTCATCATCCACTTCACAACTGTTACTGCAGCAGGCCTCTATCTGTCTTGGCCTACATCCAGAGCCTATCAGGCTATTTTTCTGTCTGGCCTAAGGGACCAGGTCGTGGCCTGACCCCACAAGCCGTATGTTATTTTTGTCCAATCCAATCCGGTACCATCGTCGGTTCTAGTCCAGTCAGTCCGGTGGGGGTATACCCCAGCTACAGTCTGTTTGTGCCTTATTCTTCATTCTGCACACTTTGGAGTACGTGCGTAATGAGTCACAAGTGGTTAATGACTTCCTGAAATTTCAGAATGAAATATTATAAAGTTTGTGAGCAGAGGTTTGAAATCGCTGAAATGGTCTGAAGACACTTCATGTACTTTCTAAAGTTTCATGTGGTTTGGTGGTATTTTTTTTTTTTTTTTTTTGGCTCAACGTTTTTGTGTGACACCTCATATCATTTCAAGAGTTTTAGCTAGGAAGACCTTAAAATCTTTGAAATGACTTGAAATGGCTGAAGCTTTTGAAAGCGGTTTCAGATCCCCCCATCCACATGATTGGACGGGATGGGTTGAAACCGCTTTCAGAAGCATCAACCACTTCAAATAATTTCATAACTTTCAAGTGGGGGGACTGAAACCTCTGGAATGACCTGAAGTGACTCATGCTTTTATGGCACTTTCAGGCTCCCTCATTCAACTGGTTGGATGAGGGCATTGAAACCTCTGAAATGACCTGAACTGGTTGAAGCTTCTGAAAGCGGTTTCACACCCCCCCATCCAAATGGTTGGATAAGGGCATCTGAAACCGCTTTCAGATAGTCAACCACTTTATGTCACTTCATGAGTTTGAGGTGGGGAGACACGAAACCAGGGTTGTCGACCCCCGGACCCGGGGCCCCGGCGGGGGTCCCAGGGGTCGAGGGTCGGCACCCCCGGCCCTGGCTTTCCAAAAAAAAAAAAAAAAAAAAAAAAAAAAAAAAAAATCGAAAAAAAAATACTGGGGGGTGCGCACCGCCGCCTGGCAGCCCCTGGCGATTTATCGATTTTCGAGAAACAGGGGGTCCTGCCCCCCCGCCCCGGGGTGGCGGTCACCAGTGCCGGGGGTCGGGTGTCGGGGGGGTGGGGGTCGCCCTGGGTCGAG